CTTGATGTGAATTCAGGAGACAAGCTGTGTGATAAGGCTCATAAGAAATATGCCATGCCATTCTATGGACATCTGGGTCGAATATTAACAAGTACGCCAAGTAAGAAGGAAAAACCAACTAATTTGAGGAAATCTGCAGAGAGCATAAAGGAGAAACATGGAAAGCATTATGAAGCAACTCCTTCAACATCATCTGCTGTGGGATACAAGGAGTCAGAATCATCTGTATTCTCCTGTAACAAAGAAAACTTGAAGAAAGCGGAGCAAGATAAAGAACATGACAACAAACCAAAGAAATCCGTTAGTAAGTCCATGAGAGGTCCATCAGATTCCACAGAACAGCAGTCACCACGAGCCATGAAAGCTTCTAACAAAAATTCATTCCCAAATGGCCTTCCAGATCCAGGTTCTACATCCATGCCCACACCATGTGAAAATCTGCCTGTAAGAATATTTTCTTTGAATTGTCCACATTAAATATATGTGAACTGGAAAGCTAGAATCTAAATGCAGAAGGTGAACTATTTTTTAGTAAACTGTACATGATCTCAGAATTGAAAACTTTGATCCATGTTTCACATGGTATGTGACATTGACAGAATAGGGGGGGAAAACTGTGTATCCTGCCAGCCATCCCTCCTGTTCCATTTTATGGCATATTATTTAATGTATGTAAATTTACATTTATTACAATGTAGACTTCAGTGTCCCTTTGAAGACAGAGCTTGTGCAGAATATCAGCTTAAGCCAGCGATTCTTCTGAAATAAATTTCTCATTAACTGTCCAAGATGCATGAAATTCTTTCTCTGGCTCAGTTTCTGGGATGAATGGAATTAGGTAGCTAAGTTGTGAAGAACTGGGACGTTTTCTCCCCTGCTGCCTTTGGTTAGAATTTACATTGGCATTGACTAATCAAAAAATGTGCTGGCTTGTTCTTCCTTTTAAGAGTGTGTAGCCTATATGTGTATATATGTATACACACACATATATATTCACATATATTCTATATTCTTTATATATTCTGTATTTTATTTCTATATTCATATATATATATATTCTAATAGCTTCACAGGAATCCTGTATTTCTCATGCTTATTTGGATATAAGTACAATGTATTTGATTAAACCTGAGTGATTCATAGATTATGGGATATATCACAAATGTGACAGATGAGGGGTCATAGGTTCTAGATAAAATCTATTTTAGAACCAATAAGTTTGGGCATAGTTATATTTTAATTGAGAAGAGCTTTTTAATTCGCTTGTGAAGTTTACAGATTCTGTTTTAATGAGATTAAGTGTAATCTTTAACTGCTATCTATAGTTTAAAATGTTTCATATCCTTTTTTATCTTAATATTCAGAATCATGCAAGTGAAGAGGATTTAAAAATTAAAGTATGCAAGTATCTTGAAACAGCAGTGGAGAGAGCTCTACAGGAGTTGCGGGGTGCTCCAGCAGAACGCCAGGGTCAGCCACTCCATTCTGCGAGACCACACAGTGGGCCCCCTCTTTGTAGGTCAGCTAGAGAGACCCCCAGAACACAGGCTGCAGCCTCTTCCATTGCATTCCTGGATTGTTCCGTTGGTAAAGATCCAGGGAATACTACCAGGCTGAAGTTTCAGAATCAAAGCACTGAAGCAGAGCAAGAGGAAATTAGTCCTAAGAAAAGGATACATTTCTCTGAAAAGCTCGAAGATTCATTAGTGGAAGATGAGACAATCCAAAATGATGACAAATGAAGTCAGAACACCATTGCAAAGAAAAACAAGGGGCAACACATATCTCACTTAGAATTTGACTTAGGCAGATACTGCTCCCACTTTGTGTAGAAGTAGCAGTAATAAAAAATATGTCCTTGCAACATCTTTACTGCATCTTTCACTTTGAATCTTCAGGTGACTCATTTCACCAACTTTCTATATTGCAGTGTGGCTTTGGTGACAGGTTGTGTAACTTTTCTGGCCTTGATTTATGGAATAAGGTAGGAGTTCATCGTGCAATGAGAGTTGTAAGTAATTGATGTGACAGACTAGCAGATTAGACAAAGAGCAGACTTCTAAGACGATTGGTATAACAATGTATTATTACAAGAAAAAAAATGAATGTATTAGAAAATGTGTTTCTGTTGTTGCAGTAACAGAGGATCTTACACTTCTGAAATGTGCATAGTATTTCAAAACATGGGCATATTTTCAAGTAGATGTTTCAGTGTGGGCATTAACCATGTTATTATAGACATAGCTAGGGAAAGCAGCCAGTCTAAAGTTTCATAGAACTTTCCTAGTAATTTTTGATGTAATATACCTTTATTTGCTTCTGTTATTACTAGTGTATCCATTGGTTTTGCCGTAATGTAAAACTCTGAAAGCCCTGCTAAGTCTGTTATGCAGGATCTTAACCTGTATTAATGGTTAATCTCACTGTTGCAGCTGGATTTCATTACAGGACCAAGCAAACAAAAGTCATAGTGGAAGCTTTATTATTATTATTTGATTTATTCAGTATTACCTTGGGTAAGTAACATATGTTTGTGTAACTGTAATGACTAAATTATCAAGACATTTATAGATTTGTTTAGTGAATGATGAATTTAATTCTGAAGCTGGTAGTTACTAAGTTGTATGTAGAACCTTAGCATAGGAGAAGCTCACCTAAGAATGGTTTGTTTTTCAAGGTATTTATCTTAACTATGAAGTACTATTTTTATATAAATGCATTTAACTCACAGAGTCAGTTACTTTCATTTGGGAATGATGGAGGTTTCTGCAGGAGTATCTTTAAACCTAGTGTTCTTTGGTTCATTCTATCTCAAGTTTGTGAATGGCTTAAACTTTATTAATTATTAAGTGTTACTCTAAGCTGGTTATTTAGCGGACCCTCTCATTTTTTTTCAATGGTTTTGTTATTTTTTTACCGATCTGTGAGAACAGATTGAGCTCACAGTATGGTTCTTAACTGTACTTTCTTGAGGTCTTCCTCAGAGGTAATGTTCCTTTTATATCACTGAATTGCCTTTTTTTTTTTTTTTTTTTYCCCCCCCCCACATTCATAGATGATAGGGAAAACCTTCAGGACCGATCAAGACAGCTAGCTTAGTTGTTTTGCAAGTATTGGACAATTCAATATATTTTAGCAAAGTTATATATAACACTAAAGGCAGCATATATAAATCACTTACCTACTTGAGGTTCCTGCCTCTTGTCAGAGAGATTCAGAACAGTGTTATTTGCCCCCTTTTTTTGGTCTTGTCTTTTTCATAAGCTTTCCTATGACTTCACCCTGCCCTCCAGACTAACAACTGCTTACATAGCACTGGGAGAAGGAGGGAGTGGTGGAAAGAGGTAAGGTGCAAAGGCATTAACACAATGCCTTTTTCTTAATGTTTACTTTTGTTCCTTAACAGCATCAAGTGGAAGAAGTTGCCATTTTGTGTACTTATTTGAGAATCTTCAGAGTGCTTTATGCAGCAGATAAGTTCTTTCTAAGTAAATGACTATTTTTCACTATATTAAGTCATTGACAAACTACTGTACTATTAGACCAGGACTATAATAAACCTAATAGCATTGACCATACAAATCAGGATAATGTTACTTCACACGAGTAGTCCTCTGTAACAAATATTTGTTTTTGGTGTAGTGTCAGCACAATGAAAGGTTGCATCAGAAAACTTTCATCTTATTTCCACAGGAATCAAATTTGCAAAAGTAGCCAACCTGCCACCTCTTGATGCTGTTTTACTGGCTTTTGCAGTAGGCAATTACTTTTATAAACTCCTTGGAGATGGGCCTAAATGTAAGAGCCCTTGAAAAAGCTCAGGTCCAAAAAGATGGAATAAATGATTTTCCGTTTCAGTTCATATGCAGATTACACATGCAACTGTTAAGTAAATGCTCTGTAAAAAAGAGATTTATTGTGTACTGTATTATGCTTGACTGCTTTTGTCTGAAAATATGACAATATTGGTCAAATGCATTGGTCATATGACAAGTGGTTAAAATGCAACACTTCCAACTATAAAGTTTTGTAAGCTTTTTTTTTTCTTCAACCAGTACCTGGAATAGATATAAGGCAGTGTTATTTCATGTGAAGTTTGCAAATACTAACATGTAGGTTGCCTCATTTTTTCTACAGCAGTTTATTTTATTCATTTATTTTTTTTAAGAGTACTGATATTCACCCAGAAGGCAGTAATTGGGGGGGGAGGGGGGAAAGGTACAGCTTCATGTATTTTCTCACTTGATCTAACCAGCACAATGGCTTTTAGCTAAGGACTTTATGGAGTTCACTTGAGAACAGCATCTTTAAATGTGAACAAGCTATTAATATTTTTATGATCAGCTAAAATAACTTTCTCATTAAAACAGCCATTTTCTTACCTAATAAACAGCAATAACAAGAAGCTGTTAGTATGACTGAGATGAAAATTGTAGTAAGTATTACAGAACTGAATGAGAGGCAGAAGGGTTCAGTTTATTAGATGATTAATTTTACTAGGTTTTGAAATGTAGGGCTTTCTTCACAGTACAATGAGTAAAATCAAGTCTTAGCCCTGTGCCACGTGCTCTAGGTGACCCTGCGTGAGCAGGGGGGTTGGACTCGATGACCTCTGAGGTCCCTTCCAACCTTCGGCATTCTATGATTCTATGATTCTATGATTTCATTGGCACTTCCACACGCTTACCTAGAACTGGTTTTATGCCTCTCTAGCTTGCCTTGTGCTTAGTCTTCGCTGACTTGCACTGAGCTTCTGGCAATCTTGTCGTGTTCTCAAAGTTGTTTGTGGACAGGCTTAGCCCATGCAAGACCTGAGTCTTGCCTCACAGGTCAAGTGTTAGATATATTGAAAATTTCAAATATATCCATTATCCATTAATTTCAAATGCATACATTTTCACTATAGTCAGAACTTAATGTCAATAATGTCCCAGTGCTTTTGGGACACCACATTTCCTAAAGCATAACAAGATAACATAATTTTTCAAAGGAAGTTACTGGTTCTGCTTCTTGGATACAGTTTTAGAGATGAGAATTTACTGAGGCAGTTTTAATCTGGCTTAAACAATAAAACCCTAGAGCTTCTGATTAATTCAAAACCATGTCATGGCTGAACCTAACCCTGGGAATTAAATTCTGACTTTCCCAAGAGGTTTGTGTACTTGTGTATTGAGCAGCAATAATATTATGCTGCTCATTGTGTGCTAACTAGTTAAATGGTTCTTCTTTAGAGTTTGGAGAAAATGATTACTAGGTTCAGATAACTTTGATGGTCCACAGGAATACAGTATAAATACTTGCAGTAACTAATTATGTAACATAGTGCCTTCTGGAACTTGTGATTTGCTTTACATAAGTGGTCCTTAGATCATTTGCTAAGATGGCATAATAGAGAGATGGCATAATGGAGATTACGAGCAGAATCTGCTCTAAGAAGGAAGATAAATGCAAGAATCACACTTGCAAAGAAGCTAAACTGTGGGCAACACGCAGTTAGGACTGCCTGAAAGACCAGCCAACTTTTGTCAAATATCACAGTGTATCAGCTGAAAAAAAAATACAGTAATGGTGCATTTTGAGATGTATAAAAAGAGAAATATTACTTGCATAAGGAAGCAACTGGCTTAGGCAATTTCAGATGTAGGCTTGGAAGTGGAGACTTCTTTCTCACTAAAATAATTTGGGTGAGAATGAAAGGACAGATCAAATTGTTGAAATGAGGAGGGCCATATGCAAAACCCAAGGCTAAACTATGAGAAATTCAACAATACAAGCTGAAAACTTTAAGTACTGTACGCAATAAGAATACAACAGAATCCCTCCTGTTAAATATTTGCAAAAGGGAAACAGGAGCTCTATCATTCTATATACAGCCAGAGAAAGGTAAGACTTACTGCACTTTATAGTGCCAACAGAGGAAAAAGTTAATGAAACATGGCCACTAAAGCTGCATTTTCAAGTATACCTTGTCTAATTGTGTTTTAACTATAAACAGTAAAGCAGCAAGTAGAAATCACATTTTTCTTCTCTGAAGCATGGGAAGAGGTATGGTGGTTTGGCATCTTTCTAGAATTCCCAGTTTATATCATCTTGATTTGTAGTAATACGTCCAAGTTCAGTCCCAGTTGCTGGTGAGGGCACTGCCAGCAACGTTGATCTATGATTTTGAATAGGAGGTGGTAATAGGGATAGTAATGAGCTCTGTGTCTGCTCTTTTATCTAGAAAGGAGGAAAAAAAAAAAGGCTAAAATACAGCTGCATATAAAATTGCACATAACATTGCATCTGACAATTATAAAATATGAAATCATAGAGCTCCCTTATTGTATGTAGAATATTGAGAATAAAAGAATGAGAGATTTAGCTTTCCTTGTTGCTAAGTTGAATTAATCTTATTTTTTTAATCACATAGGCTGTGAAATTCTTAAGCTTTAAATTGAGTATATTAGGCAATTTTTTATTAGTTAGTCTCACTTCAGTTAAACTAACGTCAAAGGGGAAATAGATTTCACTTATGCATCCTATACTCCAGCATCATGTTTTGTAAAAAAAAAAAAAAGCTGTCTGAAACAGGCTCTGTGGTCTGAGGTTTCAGCTGACTCAATTATTTTGAAGTTCAACTCTAATATTTTGTGGTTTATTTAGGGTATAGTTATGCCATCTACCAGAGATTACAGTAAACTCACCTGTTTGAAGAACGTGTGCGAAAGCAAACTGCTTGCTGAGGGCCTGGATCAGAAATGAAAAATACAATTACGTTTTGGAAAATGAATACTGCCTTCGGGACAGGTGCTAAACTGACAAATGAATCTAAGCCCCGTGGTTATTTAACCACAAAGCACAGGAAAAGCATGAAAAAAGCAACACAGGTTCCCTTCATTCTCTGCCCCAATTTGTGCTGAGAGCATTCCAAAAGGTAATTTATTTTTTAAAGGGCTTTTTACTTTTTCTAATTAGAAAAGAATGTAATGCCTCAGAAAATATATTGTATTGAAAACTAAATACTTCAGCTTGATGCTTTTTCTTGGACAAAATGCATGTTTATTTTTTTTCTTATTTAACCAGGGGAAAAAAAAATCATAAATTCCATCCCAAGGATCAGACAGGAATTCAAAAGTATGGCTCCTTGGACAAGGTAATCGCTGAAGTACAAAAGCAAAGGTAAGTGTAGCGTTTGGTATAGTACATATTGTCTGAAAAATGTTATTTTAAACAGTATTCAAATAATAACTGGATACTAAATTGTGCACTATATTTGGTCTTAAATTGAAGTGACAGAAAATTATCTTTGACCAGGAGGTTACCTTTTCTCAGGGTCCTGTTGCAAGCATAGTTCTATCAAGTTGTGGAAAGCAGGGGAAAACGTTTTGGAAAAGGGAATTTGCAGTCCTTCACTAGTCATTGTGCGTGTCATGCTCTCACCAATTCCAGAATCAACACCTGATCGGGAATTCTTCATTCGGGATTCCCCACGGGGGAAGGTATTTATATCCCAAGGACAATACGTGGGACCTTTCAGCTTTTGCAGCAGCATCTAATAGAAAGGAGTATAACAAAGTCCAACAGATGTTTAAACTTATTCAGGCTAAGTTGTTAAATCATTTTCTCTTCCTGGAATTTGGTCCAGAAAGAAGTATACATATTTGAAATAACAAAAGAATAAATAAAAATAAAAAACACCCACCCAGCAATGATAGCATTGATTTTTCTAAGAAAAAAAAAGTTCTGCATATAGTGAAGTAGAAATAAAATTCAGCATCAAACCTGAGTGCGAGGCATATCTTGAAATGGAACATGTCCATTGGCTAGTTCGCATGCTGTAATCCCCACACTGTAAATATCAGACTTCACATTATACCCAGACAAATCCTGCAGGAGAAAGAGTCAGCCTAAATCACTGAAGCCATTGATCTATGCAGATAAAAATACACACACGTATGTCTGGACAACACTCTGATATTCCATAGTCTATACAAGAATTGGGATAATTAGATAATTGGGAAACCTGAACTCATAGCTCTACTGAAGACAAATTTTAGGATCAGAAATAGTTCTCGGGAAGAAGTCGGAACAATAGCATCTTACCAACAGCTTACACATCTCTCTGGAGGAGAGTTTTAATAATTTCAGTACATCTTTGTTTCAATTAAAAGTTGCAGATCATCAGCCTCATTGCCCTTTTACAAGCAAACTTAAGCCAGAATTTAACTGCTACAGGAGCTTAGATCGCAATGTGTGATTTATACTGACCTGTCTCAGTAGTTCAGGACTCAGCCAAGGAAGCACAGATGTACTAAACTGGGGGAAATCATATACCACCTTTGACTTTTGTCCATTGTTAACTAAGCTGTAGAGGTTGCTTAAGCCTGAGAGAGAAACCAGACCATCCTCTGAAATCAGAATGTGGCTAGCCTTAATATTCCTATAACACAAAGTAATAAATTGGGAGTTACATGAAGAACTCAAAACAGTATTTGTATTTCATTAATTCATAAAATACTGAGATGTTAAAATATAGTTCTGTTTAGCAGCTTATTATCTCACAGAAGTTCTTCATTCAGTATGTGCTGTCTTTTTAATACAACCTCAACTGAGGGGAGTAGGGATTGCCAGAAATGGGGAATGGGCTTTCCTTCCCAGCAAGGGGTGTGAAGTAAGAAAGCACCCTCTACAACTGTAAATCTGTGAGGAGAGAGAATCAGACAGATGCACGCAGATTTAAATAATAGGACAAGTGTTATAAAAGGGCTTACATAATGTTTTGGACGCCATTCTTGTTAAGATTCTACAAACTAAGTTCTGCTTTGTTATTAGGAAAAATGCTTCTGTGCTGCCTGACAAATATAGAGAGAGAAGAAGGAAAGGAAACAACACTTAAACCTGAAAACGGACTTTGAAGGGAAGCTGAGCTCTCAGTAAACTAATTGGTGTAATCTGGTTCTTGCCAATGCCACTGACATTCTCCTACCTGTGAATGTAGCCATTTTGGTGCATGTAGTTTAATCCTCTGATTGTGCCAAACAGAATGTTCCCAATCAGAGCTTCACTCATTCCTTCAGGAAAGTAAGTTTTCAGCAGGTGTCTAGCAGAACCTGGGAAAGAAAACAGCTAAGCATAACAAGTCTGCAATGCATACATTCACAAAGAGCAGTCTCCTCACTTTTATAGTGACTACGGCAAGAATGCAATCTGTAGCAGACAAATACCACACTTAAGTCATGTTTCTGTTATCTGCAGCTGTACCCAATTCAATCAAATTCAAGACTGTATCAAGTCAAATGCACTCCTCAATGAACGTTCCTCAGAGAGTGGATGTCAGGACTTGAAATACAAGTTAAGGGGTTTGAATGCTGAACTTCACTGGGAAGGAAGAACAAGCCTTTTCTACAAAACAAAAATGCTTAAAATGCTTAAAAATGAAATCTCTTATGGACTACATAGTCCAAATGGAATCAACTTTGCTCTTATTTGAAAACATCACTTAACAATTCTTACCATATGCCATAAATGGAGAGATGACCCAAAGCCAACTACCAGCTGTAAACACTGTCCAAAGTGTCATTATGTTGGGATGCTGGAAAAAGTGGGATAAAACCACCTCGTTCTAAGGAACAGAAGAGCATATGTTAACTAGAAGACAACTTTTGCTAAGGCATTAATTACATCACTATCAGTGAAAGACTTGTTCCCTGTATGCATATATTGATGTGCACGGCCTGCAGCAGGAATGCAAATAACTTGACTATAACTGCTTTTGTCTGAAATGAATGTTTTGATGTAAATGCAAAACATAAAACACACTTCAAAGGAAAACCCTTGTACAATCACAGAAGCTCTTCTAAAACACTTGTCAACTGATTTCCTCAGAAAGCAGTTCTGTTTCCAATTTACACACACATCCTGCTCTTTCAAAGGAAAAAACTTAAATGGCCCAGTTCAAATAGGAGGGCTCTGTTTTGTAACCTTGCATGCTCACTGTATAGTCATTTGCTGCTGCAGCAGAGCTGTTGCTTTACCTGCAAAGCTTTCAAGTGCTCCTCAGAGCAACTTTCCAGGTCCGTGATCCTTACGGCCACTTGCATCCCTGTAGGTGTGTGTCGGGCAAGGTAGATGGAAGTTAAGTTGTTGAATCGCCTCCCTGAAACAGAAGTGGCTCCCTTTGTTAACACTGGAAAAATTAATAATCCTCTTCATAATTTGCTTCACATATAGAGATCATTTTAAAGTGTTCATTTAGCAGTATGACTTTTTCATACTTAAGTAGCTGCAGCCAAATGTATTCAGGAAATTAATTAAAAGATGGCTTTGATATTTTTAAAAGTAAAGATTTAAACCATGTTTAGTACCAATTGCATACCTTTTGCATCTTAGTGAATAATACTTCTAGTATGCACTTTCACATAAATAGATGCATGGACATTAAGAGTGAGGGCAGGTGTCTTTAGGACAATTAGATAATAGATGATTTTATATTTTTAAAATAACTGAAAAATGAGAGATTTTGTACTTTTTTTCAACTAAAGAAACCAAAGACGGTTCTATTCAGCTGATAGATTTTCCAAGCTTAGTAAGTATTTGCTAAAGTAAGCAATAACCTGAGAGAATGCATCTGCAATAACTAGTAGTTGTTGGTACCTATTTCCACCTGGAGTTCATAGTGGGAGACATTGGTAGAGCAAAATATCATTGCATTTTCTCCTGTAGGTGGGGGAATCCAGGCTAGATCAGAATCATTCTAAAAGTGAGGAGAAAAAAATTACAAAAAGAAAAAAAGGAATCTCAAAATTACTATGTACATTTACACAGTTAACAGAAATAGCATTAATGAAAATGTTAAGATCAAATAATGAAGTTAGGAAAGTCAAGCTGGTGCTTTTATCAGTACCCTGAGATATATTAAATGAGCTACTTTAGTTATTATTTGTAGTCTTCTTCCAAAGCAAAGTCTCAAAGTACTTTGGTTGTTTTTTCTAAGTTAATATTTGAAAAGGTATGTGACTTAATGCAATTATTTTTGTATACATCATTTTAATATATATAACATTGCCAGTTAGTTTATTTATTGATTTATTTTATTCTTACCAGATATTCTTGAATGCTGCTCTCAGATTGCTCTTCTGGTCTGATGGGTTCAACTCGTGTACGTAGAATACAGGAACAGTCCTTGAAAAACAAACAGGTGAATTTTTGTGGACTTGTTGTAATTTATTAAACATGATAATGGGAAAACATCAGAAGTGCCCCCCCACCTCTGCCATGAACAGTAGTTGAGAAAGGCAAGAGTTTAGACCTACAGGTAAGAGAAGTTAATATGATCCATAACCAAAAGTTGATATTACAAAGTTAAAGCATCTTGCCATTGTCATCTTGTCACTCCTCTTGAGTGTTTCAGCTATACAGCAAGACACTTTACCAGAACTTTTTCCCATTAAGATATGGCTGGGTAACAAGTGCAACTGTTAATGCCTGTTAAGTTCAAACTTACCAAGCAAGACATGGAACCGCTTTAGATCAGCTGAAATGTCATATACACCCATTTATCCTAGAAAAATTAAAGCATCGCTGTGAGACCATACATGAACCTGTGACCCAACACTAACAGATTCTAAGCATAGAAATCTGTCTCATTTAATCAAAATTGTGAGGCATTCCTCTCAGTTATCAAAATACCTCTTACAAAAATCTACATCACGTGCAAAATGTTCCAAAGAATTTCTACAAAATTGAGGCCTACTTCATTGTACTGAATCTTTAAGCAACACATAGCTTCAAACTACATATTGAGCAGATGTACACTCCAAAATCTTTTTATTTATGTGTTTGGATATTAACATTCCTAAACAACCAAATGAATTCCAAGTTAACTGTATAACTGCACAAAAGAAAAATGAATGGATTCATGGATCACTGGCAGTTTGCAGGTAATAAAAATGAGCTGTTGTTTTAAAGGAGCACAGCTGTGTTAGCCAGATTTCAGCTCAGCTGCTGCAGCTGAACTGGCTTCTTAAAAAAGCAGACCAGAAGTAACTGCACTGTGTATTTCACAAGAGAAAAGTACCACTGTAAAGAGCGTAAGAGATTGCTCTAAAAGAAAACTTAGATTGTTTCCACATGCCTGAAACTGCAGAACGAGCATTTAGTCCAAACTCCCTTGCGCATCAGTGAAGCCCCTCAAAGTTTTCTAACAGTCTGAAAGTTTAGGAGATGAGGAAGATGTTATCAGATATGGTTGTTAGACCATGTCTAATAATATGCTTCTGAAAGCGGAGATTATTTAAATCATTAAATTATGAATGCTATTTAATCCCAGCAAAACTCTTAAAACTCTAACAAGCTCCCACCACCCGCGTGCTTCCAGAGCATCTATCTATTACCCAATTTACCTTCAACAGATTCTTGAAGCAAGGAAATGCTGCAGTTCTGTTTTATAGATGAGAAGGGAGATAAAAGGAGATCTGCTAGTGGGCCTGCAGTGGGTGTTTTGCGGCTCAGTTTCCTCAGAAGGTGGGGCTTGACTCACCTGCTTTCACAGAGATGTTTGTGGCACAGCAGGAGGTGCTGCCGATGTTCCAGGACATGGTCCAGCACAGGCACTGCTAGAGCATCCTCTGAGCTGGAAAGAAAACATCCCCCTCTGTTATCCAAGGCAGGTTACTGTGGAACGTGAAGCCACAAAAGCCAAGCTGAAGAACGGAGTCCTAGTGACTAGCATACGCTGAAGGGAAGTTACTGGAGAACAAGTTCCGAGCTGTGAGGAGCTCTGGCCAGCCCGCACAGCTGTCCGGGATCCGTGTTTGCCAGGCAGTGTTGTTTAATTTTTGCTGCTGTTCTGTAGTGTAATGCCGTTTCTCTGGGGGCCTGGGTCCTGTCCCTGCACCACCCGCCGCGCATTCCCACGCTTCCTCTTTGTCTCGCAGCCCGCCCCGCCCTGCGCGGCGCGTTGCGCTGCGTTGCGTTGCGTTGCGCTGCGCTGCG